ATCCTAACCCTCCATTACACACTATATATATTCACTCTCCTCTCATTTACCCTAACACTCATCTCACCTCTCTCTCTTACCTGCTGCGCGACAGAAAATCTCTCTCTCTCTGTGAGGAGAAAAACCGATCGATCTCTATCTCTCAATCTGTTCTTTGTGACTACCTTGTGAGAGCCACCGTGAGTGTCGCCGTGAGAGCCGTCGGAGTACCGCCGCTGTGCCGTCTTTGTCGCCTAGCTTCCCGTCGCCGGTTCAAGCCCTTGCGGGGTGCTTTCCGGCGAGCTCGTTCGTGGGAAGGCGAGGCTTTGCGACGGAGTACCGGGTGCGTGGCCGTGTGTGAGGTGCAGCCCGGGGATTGGGTCGAGGAACCGGGGCTGCCGTCCGTTGGCCACCACCGAGCCGCTACTTACCGAGGGTGCCGGAAAGAAGGACAATTTGAGCCGGACTTCGTGTCCATCGTCTCCAATCGGCCGGATAAAAGGGGGATTTCTTTCTTCTCTTTTATTTCTTCTTTCCAGCATTCTGTACTTTGCATTTTCAGCATTTATTGTTGCTTACTGTACTAGGTTCATTGTTATTAACCTATGTATTTTGATTGCTGGGGAATAGGTACAAATCGGGCTTGAAGTGGGGCTTAAACGGAGCTTCAAAGAGCTGCTGAGAACCAGCCCGGGAGTTCGGACAGCATACCGGGAGTCCCAGTGGTACGAGCAACACCCGAGAAAGGCCCGTGAAAGCTGCATTGCAGTCAGAGAGCAAGGATACGAGCTTCCGCTGCGTACGAGTCAAGCGGTGGGAGCGGGACGGCCACTTAATAGTGGTATCAGAGCCGTCCCGCCACCGCAGGTAAGTCGAGCACCTACGTGTTAGGGCTCGCTCTGGTATTGGCTCTAAACTCATCTTTTTACCGCTTTTTATTATTGTAGACCCTGGACGGGGATTGCGTCCAGGGAATAGGATTATTGTAGCCTCTGGACGGGGATTGCGTCCAGAGAATAGGATTGCGTGTTGGGAAACTAGCTGCTAGATCAATAGGTTAGATATGCATGCTATGTGTTAAACGTGTTTATCTTTGTTGCTCTGCCTGTGGCTATTTTTCTGTGTTTCTAGCATTAAATTGTGTATTTTTTGCTGCTTTGACTGCTTAATTTGGGTGAATTTGTTTCCTGCCGAATTTCTGCTATTTGCTTAAGTCTTTGTGTCTCATTTTGCTGTTGAAAATCAATTGTGCTGAAAACTGCGTGTTTAAATTACTAAAATTTGATTTGGACTGAATTCTCTGTGAATTTAATTGCTGAAAAATCTAATTTTTGGCCGAAAACTGAGTGTGTTAATTGCTGAAATTTGTGCTAGTATTTTCTGTGGAATCTGCTGTGTTTTCTGTGAAAATGGCTTCGT